GACCTCGGATTGAGTTTATTTGTTCCAAGCTTGGTACATACAATCTGTATGCTCCAGCTTGAGGGGAAGTGTTAGAATAATTACGGTTACATATCATCATTAAGGCTAGTCTGTTAGACCATTAATGAGTAGTACCTAGTTCTGTACCTAGAGGTCTAGTGCAGACTCTTGGTGTTCCATGTACTCTTGCTTTTCAATATATATAGAAAAGAATGAGAGGGATCTGATAAACCCTCAAGAATATATTTTTATCAGTTTTTAATCTCAAGTGGGGGATAACTTTATAGATTGAGCTTTAGCTCTTTGTGAAGGGGAATCCCTTGGAGGAGAGAGTGTTCTCCTATTTTTGTGTTTTTTTAGTCTATATAATAAAGAATATTACTCTTCTTTCCCTTTTCAATTTTGGGTTCTTAACACCAACACACAAGGCAAAACACACAAACAAGGAGTAGATTCAAACTCCAATAGAGCTACAACCAAAGCATCACAGAGCAAAGTGAAAGCAATTGTGAAAGCAATTGTGATAGTCAGGAAGAACGAGGAGAATCCAGATCGGTGAGAAAAAATGCTAATGATACCATCTTACAATTATAAGATGGATAGAAAAGGGAGAGAAAACTGAACAGATGTAACTAATTTTATTAACGTGTCAACTATTAAAGTGTGTTGTACGATTTGGTATTAATAGAGAAATACACATATTGACAGCTATACACTAACACTACACATATTGACAGCTGTATACTTCAGCTGTAAGACCTAATGACACTAACATACACTAACAATATGGATAAGTTCCCTGCATTTGCAAATACACTTCAGCATGCACAATCCAACGAGCATAGTCATCATTGTTAAACATAGGCAACTCCACCTTCTTCGTTAACTGTCTGAACTCCTCTAACGTCTCACCTTGTAAATTCAACATGGTCCCTTACCATTTGATTCCTCCTTGTTCTTACTAATTATGATGATTAACCTTTCTAATTGTCCTCTACTTTGATCTGACTCACTTGTAGAATGGATTTGAGGCCTTCTAACTTTGTCTCAAATGCTGCAACCTTGGCCTCTATCTTCTTGGGTGGCATTGCTGCTTTTGTCACCATAAAAATCATGTCTCTCCTTCACTCACGATTTGGCAGGTCAGACCCAATGTTTGTTATTTAATATTGAAACGTCAAATACAACAGCAATAAAATCCTACAGCCACAGACCTATGCTCCCACAGAGCAGCTACTGCCCTTTGTCCATAAATGTGTATTCTTTTTCTCCCCCTTCCCCCTCTCCATAGGACTCCTCATATAGCCTATATTTTACTTCATGCATTTGTCAATTCTGTTACACCTACTGCCATGTCAACCCCCCTCTTTTCTTTAGTGTTCCTCCTAACATAGACCTTCCAAACCTTGGCCTTCCCTATAAATCTAAGCCCTCCAGTCCTATTACTTTCCAAGTAGCTTAAGTTAAGGAGTCGTATCTTGAATCAATAAAAAAGAGGTTTGAAATTGTCCTAAAATTGGAAACAGTCAGTTCCAAAAGAAAATTAACAGAATTTTGAGAGTTAAAGGACAAAAAGTAAACCTTTTAAAATTTAAAAAGAAAAAACAAAATTTAATTAAAAAAGCAAGCAAAAATAGAGAACAACGTTGTTAATGAAAACTGGTATAGATGGAATCTTCAAGTACAACTATCAGAAATAGAGAACAATCGGTAATAATATCAAAGGTTTGAATCTCTTCTCTTATGTACAGGCCATACAGGCTAGAAAACAAAAAGATGCTATGCTATTAATCATCACCAAAATAGAAAGCTAAGCTTTTATCGAAATAAACAACCTTGAGCAAATTAACAAGCAAGCATTATCTGATGGAAGATGTAAAATTCCACAAACCTCTAGGTCAGTCCCAATCTATTCCATTATTAACTACTGACTATAATTTACAACACTAGCAAGTTTGATAATCTTATAAAAATACCAGGTTTAAGGTCACGATGAATGATCCCATGAGAGTGTAAGCATTCCATTGCTCGCGCAATATCAAGAGCAAATGCAACTGCCACACGCATATCCAAGCAGTTTGGACGGATACCCCACAGGTATTTGCGCAATGTTCCCCCTAACAGAAGTTCAGTTACAATAACCATAACTGGTTCTTTGCAAGCCCCAATAAACTGGCATCAGAAATGTATCCGTTAGTGTGTGAATTATCTTTGCCTAGTTTACAAATACATACATACATACATATATATATATATACATACATATATATACATACATACATATATACATACATACATATATACATACATACATATATAAACATACATACATATATATACATACATACATATATATATATATACATACATATACATATATACATACATATATATACATACATACACATACATATATACATACATATATATATACATACATACACATACATATATACATACATATATATATACATACATACACATACATATATACATACATATATATATACATACATACACATACATATATACATACATATATATACATA